TCATTTTTGATTTTCTGTTGTTTGAAAATTATATGCTTGGGGATAGTGGGGTATTTATTTTGCTTGGTAATCTCTGAGCTTCCTGGAACTGCAGTTTGTGCCTGACATTAATTTTGGGATCATTCTCACTTTTGAATACCACTTATAAATTTGATTATTTCAAATATTTAATCTGTTCCTGTCTCTCTTCCTTCTCTCCCTGGTATTTCCATTATATGCCTGCCACACCTTTTGTGGGCTCACAACCCGTGGGTATTCTGTTCTGTTTTTTCAGTCTTTGTTCTCTTTGCTTTTTAGTTTTGCAGGTTTGTATTGCGATACCCTCAGTGTCAGAGGTCCTATCCTAAGCATTGTCCTGTCTACTAATAAGCTTATCGAAATAATTCGTTATTTCTGTTACAGTGTTCTTGATCTCTAATCCTTTTTTTGTTTTTTTCATAGAACTTCCATCTCTCTGCTTATATTTTTCATTTGTTCTTGCATGCTGTCTATATATTACTATAGGTTCCTTAGCATGTTCATTATAATTGCTTTAAATTCCCGGTCTGATAATTTCAACATCCATACTGTGCTTGGTTCTGATGTTTACTCTGGCCCTTCAAATGTGTTTTTTGCCTTTTGGTGTGCCTTGTAATTTTTTATTGATAGCCAGACATAATGTAGGAAGTAAAAGGAGTTGCTGTAAATAAGCGTTTAGTAATGTGCTGTGAGGGGATAGGGGAAGAATTCTATAGTCCTATAATTAAGGCTCAGTCTTTTAGCAAGTCAATTCCTCTGGGCTGTGAACATCACAACTGTTTCTCAGTATTTTTCCTTGCTCCTTATGTGGGACAGCATGGGTAGCATGGGCTGGAATTGGGTATGGCATACCTCAGAGATATTGCAGGCTTGGTTCCACAATGCTGCAGCAAAGTGAATATCACACTAAAGCAAGTTGCACAAATTTTTTGTTTCCTAGGGCATATAAAACTTATTTTTGCACTGTACTGTGGTCTTAAATGTGCAATAGTATTATGTCTTTTAAAACAATGTACATGCCTTAATTAAAAAGTACTTTATTGCTAAGAAATACCAACCATCATCTGAATGTTCAGCGAGCCATAATCTTTTTTTTTTTTTTTTGCTGGCAGAGGGTTTTGTCTCAATGTTGATGAAAACACAATAAAGCAAAGCATGCTATAACAAGGTACTTCTGTATTTCCCTTCCTTCCATCAGTTAGGTTCTGATAATGAATGCCCTAGCAGTTTAGGCTCTGGCAAACTAGTTTCCCCTGAGTGTGGGTCTTATTGAGAAGAACAGAATGCTCTGGCATGGTTTAAAATGATTTTTTCCCCTTCTCCTCTGGGAAACGAGAGGGGATTTTTCTCTGATAATTACTGCGAGAATCTGGTTGAACTCCTGGAGGTAAATCTTACAATATTATGAGGGCCCCCATGACTGGGTCCCACTGGAGTTTTTAACTCTCAGGCTTGCTCCACAGAGTGGCCAGCAATTCGTGAGCTACAGTTTAGGTTTTCCAAACCAGGCACATTCCGGTGGCTGGTTTCCACTCCTGAGTCTTTACTCCACCAAGCCGTAACTCTGTGTGCGCCTGTCCATCTCTCCAGTACTGAGGGCAAGGGTTTTCCCTACGTCCTCCTCTGTCTTATGGATCCAAGAAAAGGTGTTGATTTTTCAATCTGTGAAGAATTTTACTTCTTTTAGGATAGAGTGGTGGATTTCAGGCTCCTTATATACTGAACCAGCTGTAGATCTTATTAAATGCCAGTGTCACACAAAGAGATTTCTATTCAATATGGAGGAATTTCAAACATATCCAAAAAACCCAGATGCCCAGTAAGTTCTAATTTTAAATATTTTGCTCCAACTACAAGAATAAGAACAAATATAAAGTATTTGGTGGGCAGGATGGATGGTTGAGGACTAAGGGAAGGTCTTGTTCCACTTCCTAGGCTATTCAGATGAGGTCCTGGCCTTCCTTTAATCTTTGTAATCCTTCTTGGAAGGGCAACATTCATAATGAAGGGATCTAGCCTGGCTCAGGCTTGGTCCTCTATGAGGCAGTAGCTATAAAATGGATGGGTTGTTAGTAAAGATACTCAGAGGATTTGCTCTGTGTATACTGTTGTGTTATTTTTTCTCAATAATTCTAAGGTAGGTATCCACTACCAATTCTTTTTATAAGTTCTAATTTTCTCATTACTTCTTGAACAGGAAGTGATAGAGCATGATTTTCCAATTATATGGAGAATTTTTTAAAAAGCAGGCTATTCTTTTGCAGAAAAAAGTCAAAACCACAGTATTTTTATATTTTTGAATAAAAAACAGCCAGAGAAATACATTTTGTGTTAACTTGATGGTGCTGTATGTTGCATATCACAGTGCAAATTTTTTAAACTGCTGCTAAGGCCTGTTAAAGGAGCTACAAGCCTGCGTTGAGAGAAGGCTGTGTTCTCATGGAGAACGGAAGAGACAGTCTGATAAAATGGGCCTGTGCTTCCAAGTATAATAGCAGTGCCTTCTGATTTTGCAGTATCTGTATTCAATGAAGCCACAAGGTGAGATCATTTGGAACATTTTATATTAACTTAGGGGAGGCTCGATAAGGGAGAGAGCAAACTTTAAAATGCATCTGGTTTCATCAAAATCAGGGGACCATGAACCGTTGTGGACTCAGAAGGAAAAAAGAGAACTTGGAAGAGACTGTAATAAATGAGCCCCAGTGCTGCTGCCCTGCGATGGTTTCCATTTAATGGGAAAGCAGTGGTTCTCGAAAGACAGTAAATCTGATCAGGGATCCGTGTGGAATAGGGAGTGTACTCTGACCTCTGGGAGAGGGTTTTGCCCTCTCAGGAAGCCTCACCACATCCTTTGTGTACACTGGATGACTAATATTTATTATAGCGCCATGTGATGGAACAGTGGGCAAAGGTTGTTCCTGATCACCTTGAGTTTTTTCACCCAATTGCTCCTCTTATGGAATGTAATGTATTGCTGGCTTCTCTTGGCAGTTTTTGAACTACCTACCAATGCTGTTTTATAAATACAGCTCAGAACCCCTGTGCATGTGTTAGGTAGGACAGCTTATCAAACATATTGCACGCTCATCCTGACCCTCAGTTTCAAAGGATTCTCCCAACATTTCCTTTGCCACTGTGGCTGTGCTTTGATTGGCTGTAAATGATGTCATTACACTGTTTACTTTTCTTAGTGAAGGCAAAGATCTGAGTGTGATGTTCGTGTCCACATTGTGTCAGGCGATCGGAGAAATCTTATGCATGGATCTTTAGCCAGGTTGCAATCATTTACTATGAGCTTATGATGTGGCAACTCAATGAAACACACACCACCTGCGTGCTTTGTTATTTACAACTTTTGGAAGCTTCTGTTTACCCTGGGTCCTTCCTCTTGGACTCTCTTTCTAAGTGTAGTATTAGAGCTCTACTGTTAACAAGCTGTGTCTTCCAAAAACATAAGGCAAAATAATAGGCACAATTTGAAAGGAGATTAACAGATAGAATTCTTCCTTGACAAAGTTTTAAGACAAGCAGGCTTTGTTTATAATTGGGAGTTGAATTGCAGGTTTTCACAGCTCATTTCCACAAAGCAGAAAATGCCTGGAAAGGAGGCATTTAGGTGTTTTTACAAAAATATTAATATATCTCATGAGCTTACAGGAGGTTAGATACTTCTCTAACATTTCTAGAGAGGTAGAAAAAGTACTCATAGAGTCTACAAAAATGTTTAAATTATAGATAAAGCTGAATGTTTATAATACAGTTCAACTAGATGTTGTGGAATAGACCAAAAGGCTTTCAGGAGAGGTAAATTCTATCAAAATGTTTTCAAAGTTTTTTTAAGTACAATTTCATTCTGCTCTATACAAAAATGTATTCTAGGAATTTTCATTGCACAGTCCAAGTAAGAACAATAATTTTCCACAATTACTTTTATTATAATTATGAGAAAAAATGTCCAATAAAATGTTATGGATGCCAATTAAATAAAAATTGCATTTAACAACCCAAGGCATGCTGAGCAATATTCAGCATTTGGTTATTTAATAGTTTTATATATCCTCTTTATTCCATCCACATAAGAAGCCTAACAAATATTTGTTCATGCTGATGAGAGCTATTTCACATGATTTTAGCATACTCATTAGAAGCATCCATATATTTACATATTCCTCCAGGTTAATTCTCATTTCATTGACAACTTTGGATGGCTTCATGGGATTTCCTGCAGGTGTGTCTCTCAGGGCATTTGGCGCAACTCACTCAGTTAAAGCTACTTTTCTGAGACACATTCAAATGTGTTTTTTTAAATTATACCACATTTATATTCGAAAAGGCAAATTTACATTATATAGTTAAACATAATTTTGGATTCTCATTAGAGTATGTATTTGCCTAGAACCTATAGGAACTTCTTTAATATCTATAAGTATTTATAGATATTAACCAAAAACTCTCTATATCTAAAATCTTGACCTTCAGAGATAAAATCACCACAAATGTATTTAAGAAATTCTTTAAAGGGTTATCATCACTACCCTAAGGGACTCTGACCCCTAGCTCCCAGCCTGCCCTTAGACACTTCCTGTGGTGGGGAACTCACCTTTTATGATTACTCTTCCAACTTTATAGAGTTTTCAGAGGAAATTTCTGGTTTACTCTGGTCAAAGTTTTAACCTTTCTTTCTGAGTCTCATTTTTTAACTTGTAAAAGTGTTCAAGACATTTTTTTGCATTCTTACTGTGCATTAGGCAGCCTCAAATATTTGGTGCTGGGAAATCAAGGCAGGGTATAAATAAACACATAGTTAAACTGAAAATAATAAGGTACACAGAAACTTTAGCCTTTGAGGATATAAAGTTGAAGGAAACGATAGTCTAAAAGGAGAGACTGGGATCTATACTATGAAAACAATACAATGAGTAATTTAATAAGGCAGAAGAAATTCTGGAAACACTGAGTACTGCTATTTTCTCTTTTAGCAACTCCCTCCCACCAAACTCAAGGTGCTGATTTCTTAAAACAAGAAAAGAAAAAAAAACAAAAACAACCTGCCAATGGCTCTGCTCTGTGGATCAGGACATCCCCACAGGTGACTCCTATAGCACTCTATCTGGCATCATAGACTGTAAACTCCTATGGTAACAGGGACCCCATCTATTTTGTTCATCTTTTTTCCCCCCCTCATCACTGGGCTCAGAACTTGGAAACCCCCAACAAGTACTTGCTGAATAAATAAATATATGAACCATATCCAAAAACTAATGGGGAACTACAAAAAGAAGTTATATAAACTAGTGACATGTTCTTTGCTTTCTTTATTACTCCACCTGGAAACATAATTCTGGTGGCAGTGGGGACATGGATCAAAGAAGACTTGAGTTAATGTGGCCATGCAGGAGGGTATTGCAATAATTCAAGTAAGGACTGATAGGGTGTAAAATAAGGTGATGCCAAGGATACTACAGGTGGGTAGTTTTGATGGCTATAAGGTAGGGAGTGAGGGACTGAAAGAAGTTGAGGATTGCTTTGAGTTCTGCTTTTGTGTTTCTGATCAAAATAAGGCACATGGGATAAGGAACAGTTTCTAAAAGAACACTGTGAGCCCAACTTTGGAAATGTCCTAAATTTGTGAAAGTAAGGTGGGGAGACGCCCACTGGGCACTCATTGCATGAGGTCTGGAGACGACACAGTAGACATCACTGTTGACTCCCAACACCTATTTCACTCCTCTCAGTGTGACTTGGGAAACTAACCCCTCAAAGATAAGTATAAAAGGACTGATCTATAAGTAATCTTACTTGCCAGTAATTGGTTCAGGAATAGTCATGCGATCTGATTTCCATCAGTGAAAGTCCCAAGAGGCTTCTGGGAGAGCTGTGGGAATGCAGGCTTTCTCTCCTCTAGTGGGTTTGGATGAGAAAGCCTGCAGTCCTGGTGATCCTGACAACTTCCCTATAGCCACAGAGATACCCAGACACAGGATTCAGTCAACCCTGTGGACAGCAGAGTGGAGACAGCGAGAATCTGCTTCCCTGAGGACATTTTTGAGACTGTGAAGCAGCCACCTGGAAGCTTATACCACCTCTGGACTGCATCTTCTGGGAGCATTTCCGTACCTTTCATGATCATTTGGGTGAGGATCTTGTTAACGATTGAAAATATCTTAACTGAAACAGATGAAGGTGTACATTTCATGGTCACCAGACAGTGGGGAACAGATAAAGCCAGAGAATTTAAAGAGATTACCTTGGGAGAGTGAAGAAAGAATGGCGTTCTGGGCACCTTACACTTATGATTGGATCCAATTCTGAATTCTAGCCTATGACTCAAGATTTTTTTTGTTTTTGCTTTTAGTCAAACAATCTCCTTGAGTTTATCCTTTGACAAGTAGGCTCATAACCCTAACCATTCTTAAAATCACTTAACCTTTCTGTGTTTCAATGAGCTAAACTGTGAATTAGGGGCATACATTCAGTCTGTCTATCTAGATGGGAAGAGTCAGGTTTTCATAGAATTCCAAGCATACGCGATCTTGAGAGACTCTCTTAGAAACTGGGTACAGAGCCTTGGGAGGAACAAGTGCTCATAAGGGACCCTAAAACTTCAAGGTAGACCTTCCTCTGCTTAACTTCAGGGTTCCTGTGTGGAATGAGTGAGATAAAATAGTATGTGCTTGGCACATGTTAACTGCTCAATAAAGCTTAGCTGGCATAATTAGGGATAATTTAACACATAATTTAGATCTATATAGTAGAGATACACAAATTTTATACACTTATTGAACTTTTACATTGCTAGTTTAAGCTGTGCCCCTCACTTCTGAGCAGAGAGCTCCCCCTCACTCTATCTGTAGGGCAGACTTAGCTGCCACGGGCAACAGAGCCTTGATTCACAATACTTTTAGGAGCACACAAAAATGTTTCCATGTCTTTTAAAGTCAGAAGAAAAAATACTTTTAGGTTGAAAAACACTTTAATACACAATAGAAATATATTCATCTTTATTCCAATGCAGTAGTGAAATCTAATTTTTAAATATTTTCTTAGGGAGAGCCCACAGAACAAAAGTTCCCAGGGCTAGCAAAAGTCTGAATGCAACCCTGCTGTCTGCTTCTCCCATTTGTGTTGCTTTTTTTTCTCTTTCCATTATTTTTCCACCTTCATTTTTCCCTGGCCCCTCCCTATGCTTTACCACTTACTTACTATTATTCTCCCACCTCTAACATTTTGGGGCCTAGATGCCTATGACTCTTAAAATTAAAAAAATAAAAGCCCAGCATTTTCCTTGGGTTAACTTTTCTTTCTTGTCTCAGCTGTTTAATTCTGCAGGTTATCAGTTTACAGAGTGAAGACACATAATCCCTTTTAGAATGAAAGACTAAGAATAGAGAGTTCGAGCCACACCTTCTGAAACAGCGGCTTCTTGAAAACCCGATTCCCAGCAGTGTTGCTGCTCTGCATTTTTCACACTGGAACGCGGTGAAAACACTGAACATTAATTAGGATTACGGAGACTCGGAGGCTTACATCGCTATGACAGCTTAGAAGAAAGAATGACACTTCTATTTTTTGGATGCAGGTTGAAGTGTCATGTATGTTTTAATTCTTGGGCTCAAGCCAAGTTACCATAGGGGTGAGATGCAGTCTATTATTTTTAGGTCATATTATGCAGGGGTGTAGACTATTATTTTACGTTGAGAAGGAGGTGGGTTTGGCTGATTTTAGAGATCAAGTTTCCCATTATGAACCTTCCTTCAAAAACTAATTTTGAAATGTTATCATTTATAGTTTATGCTTATAGAGAACTTCATGTTGGAAGCATTCCTTAGTTCAAGGAGATTTCACGCCTGAGTCATTTTCAAGTTTTATTGTTTTCCAGCTTACTTGCCTTACTTAGGATCCCCACTGCTTCTTACATTTCATAAATAAATGAGCTAAAGAAAAAAGCAGACACACCAAAAACAAACCAATGCTTAACTCCCTCTTCCAACAACCCCATGTCCTAAGGGAAATATCCATAAAATAAGAAATAAAGTGGTAAGTTTCCTGTCTCCTGAATGCCTTGAATTCTAATTAGCTCTTAAGAACAGATTTAAAACAAAGACTTTTATGAATAATGTACAGATCATTAAGATTGCAATCTCTAAACTCTAGCATATGATATGTCTCTGATTCACCATATAAATTCATACTGATTACCCAGGATGATTTCCAGATGTTTACTCTCTGCATGAAATTAAATTTTGATAAAATCTGCAACTTAGCTGCTTAAAAACAAACAAAGGAAATAAAAAAACTTTCAACAAAAACTTGAAAGAAATTTTTTCACTGATATATTGTTTCCCCCATAGGAGTCACCTCTTTCATGACAGAAATCTCTTTCCTCAAAAACCTCTGGCTTTCTTAAATCCATTCCTGGTTTTAACCAAAGAGAAAGCTGCACTAGGAAATATGATGGATTGATTGCTTCTAGCCCATCATTTGGGAGGAAATTGCCACAGAATTTGCATGACAGAATAGAAAATTGGTACAAGTAAATTAATGACTCTGGATTCACAGATATAAAAGGGAATAAGAAAATATTACAATGGGCAGTAAAATTAAATCTTCAGGGGGAATCAAAGTGTCATAGAAAAACAAGATATGAGCATTGTCTTTCTATGTGTTAGCAATTGAAATGATAAGTTTGAGAAAATCTGTGCCATGTAGCAACTGGAACTTGGCAGTATAGGTACTACAGCTAACAAAGAAACAGATGCCACATAATGAAAAAGGAGCAGGAGTCAGATACACAAGAAAAATAGTTCAGAGATACAGACGATGTAGAAATTACCTAAATATATTACAAAGGAGATGGTAAAATAATCAAATGCAGAGCAATAAAGCAGGGGAAACACCATAAGAGATGAAGTAGACAAAACAATTGGACAAGAGAGAAAAGATGAAGAGGTAGAATGAGAGCAAGCACTAGGCATTGGTTCTGTAATGACCTGTGTCTCATGAAAAATGCATTATCCTAGAGGGGAGTGATTGTACTCCTCCCTCACAATACTTTGATTTGTATGTCTACAACACACCAAGCCCACTGGGATGCTGCCCACGGATTCGGAGCTTCCAGAATCATCAACCAGAGACTGACGTTCCAGACACCAAATGCAGTGTAAATAATTAAATATCAATGCAAGTCAACTGACATTTACTGAGTGTGGTCTCCAAGAATGAAGCATGTATCCACATTCTGACAGAAATTTAGGGTCTTGACAGAAAAGCAAAAACCCAAATAAACTGCAATGGTGATTTGGAGGAGGGGGACTCCGAAAGGGTAGATACAATTAGCCCAGAGTTTCTTCACCTTTTTTTGGAATAACAGGCTTCGCATATTTGATGAAAGCCTCAGAGTTTTACCCAGGAAAATATGCATTTGTGTGTACAAGATTTTATTTATGTCCAGAGGGTCAAAGATCTCATGAAGTCTGTGTTTGCTGTAGTTTAAGATCTTAAGACTTCTGAATTTCATAGAGAATCTTGAATAGGCCGCTTTTAAAGCTGCTTTACTGATTCCTTCCAGTTAAAACCCTGGGAATTACTGGAATTACTGAATGTGAGTAACTAAAGGGTGAGGCACAGATGTTGTCCCTCTGTGAAATCTTTATTGAAACAACTATTCCTCAATTTCCCAGCAGAGTTTGACTTTTTGGTTTGTTTATGTGTCCTAGAAAAAAATTTGACTTTTAAAATGCATATAATACAAAATAATAAAATAAATACTGGGAAGAGTCGGGGTGAAAAGAAAACATGAATATAAAGACAAATTCCAGAGATAAAAATTAACAGATAAAATAGTCTCATGGTAGACATGTTACAATTTTGCAACTTCTTCATCACCAAAGGTAAGACAGAGGCATGTTTAATTACAAGACTTAAAATAATCCATAAAGTAAAAATTAATCTAGTTGTTGAATTATTGGTTAGGGTATATTAGGCTTCAAGTAACACAAAACCCAAATAATATGAATTGGTGGTTATTTTTCTCACTTAAGAAATGCAGAGGTGGACAGTTGTTCACTCATGCTATCGCAGACCAAGGCTCTTTCTGTCTTCTCTGCTTGCTTTCCATTACTCTCGTAGCCTCATTGCCTCAATTGAGCTGCCATACCTCGACATCATATCCTGACCAACACAGAGAGAAGAGGTAAGGACAGAGCTCTCTCTTCCATATGGATTTTTCATCAGGAAAGTAATTGCCATCCAAGAAGCATGCTTGCAGACTTCCTTTTATATTTCATGGCCAGAACTGGAAGAACACCCCTTCTTATAAGAGAGACTGGAAAGTAAGCATGTGTCTTTCTTTGGCCTTTGTAAAGAAAAGAAGGCAAGAAAGTCCTTGGAAATGGCTTTGGGTTAGTGTCTTTTACACATGATGTGAACAGTTTTCCTGATGTTGAGCAACCTCATTTTTGGATGTCTTCAGAATGAGGATATTGTGTGATACCTCAGACTGCGTCCTAAACATTGGCCCCACAGTAAATGCAGCAGCAAGTTCCATCATATTCCATGGAACTTCATGTTTCTGTCCACGAGCTGGTGCTTAGGCTAACACACAGATTTGGAGAAGGCAAGTCTATAAAGAATCAAAACAATACATCAAGTTCACAGCCCTGTTATGATCTGGTTTAATCCAAGGGTAACACAGCCTATCTAGGGTAATATATGGACAGCAATACCCTCACACTACTCCTTCATAAATATTACATCTCACAATTGAACTTTGAATAACAATGGGACCACAGAGAGTTTAAGGCAGTAATCTCAGCCCAAACCTACCTGGAGCATGAAAGCCTGCATTACTGATAAGGATATATGTGTGTGTGTGTGTGTGTGTGTGTGTGTGTGTGTGTGTGTGTATTTAACAACCACTTAGTGAGAAAGGAGGGTTAAGTGCTCCTTCTACAAATTCACCAACACATATGCCTGGGGAAGATGAGCCCCAGGAAGAAGAAATCATTCTTTCTACGACATTCCCCTCGCACTCTGTCCCTATCTCAGTGATAGTATGTACAGCCCAGATCCATGCAGCTCTGTTGCTGGCTATGAGCCTACTCATTCTGTAGCTCCAGACCATGTTGTT